ACCCCACGGTTTGATGATGGATAGGTGTGTGGGCTGTCTTTCATTTTGACACACAGAACAATGGGGGCTATCCACCCTTATCCACAATGTAAAGTAATTCAGCCTCTTCCCTCTTCTCTCTGTGAGGAGCAGCAGCTTCAGCTTTCAGAACAAAGTCACACAAAACTAAAATGCCATTCATTTATTTAAATATGTCGTGTGGTAATAGATGTATTTATTGTTCTTCTCAAGAGAGTACCAGAATGTGTATTTTATGTTAGTATTTAAAAACTCTCCTGGGGGAGAATCCCCCCAGACCCCCTGCAGGGGTTGGGTTTTCAGCATGTCAACTCTTTCACCTGTGGGGAAATTGCAGGATTGGCTCCAGGTCGCCCTTTTTATTTACTACAAGACAAATGTGCCTTTTTATTTCATACAGTTCAATTTGGATTGACACAGGGAAATAATCTAAACCTCACGCGTGGCGTTTCACTGTCGGGGGGAGCGTGTATGTAATTACATTGCAAATACTGACTTGAGCCCCACCACTGTATGGGTTAGCCCTACCAGAGATTACCCAACACAAATACTCTGGAGCCGCCACTGGCTGGCAGTAAGGCGATATGGGTCCGTTCTGTGCATCCATAGATAAAGATAAACGCATGTAGTGCTGAACACGTAACATGAACGTGCCGGGCGGCGCGGTCCCGTGGGTTAGATGCGCATTCATAATGCCGAGGGAAATAACTCTCAGAATAACGTTATTAGCACATTTTACAACTTGAGGATCGAATGTTTTTAATAAGGGCTATACAAGTGTTCATACTGGGTAGTTTATTTAGTTTAAAAAAAATTATCCAACGATTTACAGACGTCTCTTTCCCCATGTAAGTCAATGGGAGAAAGTGTTTCCGGGCCTGGCAACCTAACGGAAGTGTAGTACCGCCGTTTGGCCACAACTAATATTTTCCTCAGAGTCCGGCGCACTTCCTGGGGGCTTGGTCACTACCCGATCTGCCCCCCTCAAGCCCCCAGGAAGTGCGCCGGACTCTGATGAAAATATTCGTGCTGGCCAAACGGCAGTACTACACTTCCTTTTGGTTGCCAGGCCCGGAAACACTTTTTCCCATTGACTTACATGGGGAAAGAGTGGTCTGTAAATCGTTGGATAATTTTTTTTAAACTAAATAAACTACCCAGTATGAACACTTGTATAGCCCTTATTAAAAACATTCGTTCCTCAAGTTGTAAAAATGTGCTAATAACGTTATTCTGAGAGTTATTTCCCTCTGCATTATGAACGCGCATCTAACCCACGGGACCGCGCCGCCCGGCACGTTCATGTTACGTGTTCAGCACTACTACATGCGTTTACCTTTACCCATGGATGCACAATAAGAACGGACCCATATCGCCTTACTGCCAGCCCACGGAGCTGTAATAATGGATATATTGCACATGTTTGCTGTAATTCATCATTTGTAAAATATTATACTACATGGGCTGTATGTTTAAATCTTGTACCGTAAATGTTGTATTAAATAAAGTTAATATTACCGACGTCGATTAACGTCACTGTAGCTTCTTATTGCACTAAGAAGCTTATTGCACTGTATATATATATATACATATATATATATATATACAGTGCAATAATTCTTTCATGCTAAATTAAGCTCTGTTGCTTGGATATCACTAGATCCTGTTACAGCGTAATATAAAAGTACATAACGATTGATGTGTAAATTAGCATAATTACTAGCTAACCGCTAGCTGCTAACTGCCGCCTCGTTAATATCAAATCTATCATAATAACAAACCATTACCATGCTGTCATGAACGTGCGGTGCTGTTACGTGTACGCAAATTGACGTGCTTGATGTGAACGAGCATTTTGGGGGGCATGGTTA